GTTGACAATCGATAGACGTAGGTAGGTACAAATAATTATAAAACAAATCAACCACTCGCTCAATTAGATATTATAATACAGGAGATATTATGGCCAGTAACAAAGAAAGAAAGAAAAAACATTTATTTATTTATTTAGTATATAATAATATGTATGTATGTAAAGGGATGTGATGTAAGTACCTGGAGTATACCTAGAACCACCTCCACTATCATTCAGTGCTCAATTCACCCAAAGATTGCCTACTATTCTTGTATGTATGTACATACATTTATGTTTATATTGCTCTAAGGTGTACTATAAAGATTATTATGTATGTCTTTACATAAAAAAATCAACGGTTTTCAAAGAAATTATTTCAGCAAAATTTTGAATGAAAAATACTTATATATGTAAAAAACTCAAATTAGCTCTTTCTTTAGAAATTCAACTTAGATTAAAAAACGCTGATACTGTAGGTACCATAATATCTCCTGTAAATAATTCTTAAGATCGTTCATTATTCTAGATTTCTAAACACACGAAGTTCCCCATTTTGGTCCAACGACACATTCTTTCTTTTTTTTTTCTTTTAACTCACAACGACTTGATGGTTCGTGCTCGGATTTATGACAAAAATTAAAAAAAAAAATTTTTACAGATACTAAAAGATGGCTTTTTAGTTTTTTTTTTAAATAATTTTAAACTTTTTTCTAACCAAGAATTATTTTATGTTATTGATGTTTTACTAAAAGTTCTAAAAATATCGTTTCAAGAAACACATTGCACATTTTTAGAACTTTTATTAAAATTTTAAATATTTTTAATTTGTTTTGTGTTTTTATTTTTCAGTTTTAAAATTATAATATCCGAGCATAGCCACCGTTTTAAATAGATATTAATTACTTAAACAACACAGTCTTGAAAACACACAGTAAAATATCGTGAATTATGTTCAAAATTAATTGTTTAGCATTTTTAAAAGTGTTACTGCCAGGTTTAAATTTTAGCTTAAATCTCAATATCATTGAGATAAAAATTAAAAACTGAAAATGTAGTTTTAATTTTAATTTCGAAAACATGCCGATAACATTAAGATATAAATTAAAAAATAAAAATGCACTTTTAATTTTAATTTTGAAATCAGTTCTTTTTTTTACTGGGTGGACTGTTATGTTATACTTATTTTTAATTGAAATTGAAAACATCGCAGTAACACTTTTATAACAATAATAACAGAGTGATAATAGAAACTTTAAAAAACAAAACAAAGTATTTACATAAACATATTGATAGACAATTCAAAAAAAATAACAAAACGTAAACTCTGAAGGAAATTTTAAATTGTTGCCTTTTAACAAGAATAATGTTCGTTTAGTCAAATTAAGTTATTTTTATGTTGAAGTGAAAGACGATTTAACAAGATAGTAAACAATTAATAATAATTATTTTTATAATCTTCAAGAGTGGATAAAATACACAACTTTTATTGAAAAGTCAGATTTGTGATATCGATATTCTTTCCACAATCATGTATGTATGTATGCATTTGGTTCTTACATTCTCTTTTTTTAATATTAACCTATAACAAAATCTTTGTACTAAAATTAAATAAACATTTTCTACATACAGGCTGTAGAATTTTAGTTAAAAATATAACAAAATTTTATTTGAAATGTAAGTTTTAAATGAATACAACAATAAAACACAATGAATAAGCTAAATAATTTATTTAGCTTTTTAGTTTAATTTCAAATCTTCGTCACTTCAACATAATAATATAATTTGACAAGAAAATGAAACTGAAACAATTAAAATTGTAATACAGCCATAGAATCACAGGATTATGGACCATAAACTAAGCAAACACGATTTATTTTGGCATACATTGCAAGATATTTGTATTTTGACTTATTTAAAACACTAACTTCGATTTAAAATGTCGTCGAGAGCTAAAAATGAGCTAAATAAGAATAAATTTAAACTCCAGTTGAGATATTTTTAATCAAAATTAGTGTTTGGTGTAATCTGGATAGAAGTAAGATTGCGTAGATTAAGTTGTTATTTTATTTTAATGGTGGTGTATATTTTATAAGACATACATAACATCACGCCTTTTATCCCCGAAGGGTTATGTAGAGGTGCACATTACGGCACTTAATGCCACTGTACAATGTAACACCTTGTTATCACTATTTATGTTATGTGTCCCATGTAATAGGGGGTGAACTTATTGCCATATGTCGGGCACAATTCCAGACTCCGTGCTATTACTGAGATTTTTTTTGAAAACCCAATAATACTTTGCTCGACCCGAGACTCCTTGCTTAGCAGTCGCATTTGCGACCACTCGGCCAACGAGGCAGTCAAGTCAAGAGTATCTATTAACTGTTCAATTATTTATTTACCAAATATCTTACAATGCAATCACCTGTTCCTATTCACCACGAATATCAGTTTCCCATTTTTACCGAAAGGAAAAGAAATATATTTTAAAATTTTAAATTACTCGACTTCTAAACATACTTACGATATTACCAAATATTTTTTATTATTATTGAATATTACACATTTTCTCAATACACTTTTGTAGAAATTGTGGCAATATTTTGGAAGAAACTTTTTTTTTAACATCGAATTCGGTTTCATAAATACTACGATAAATATTATAAAACTAAAAACATAAAAGATTTCGCTTAAAAAACCATGCTTTCTTCACGTGTTTTGAGAATTTTCTTTAAGGATTCAATGGTCCGCTCAATTTGGAGGCACCATTTTAGAACCCAAAGTCGTATAAGAATATTTTAAATATGTAACGCTTATGTCTACTAAAAATTTTAAGTAGACTACATAGGAATTACATTAAAGAAATCGGAAGTTCGTCTTCCATTTTAGTATTAGACCATAAATCTGGCAAGCGATTTAATACTTCAGTAAATTGAAGTAAAATTTTATTAAAATTTAATTTTTTGTAAGAAATAATTTACAATACATAGTATACTGATTAATAAAAATTTTAATTTAAAAATCGAAGCGTCTCACAACGCGTAGTGACGTGACACGTCACGATAATCAATTTATTTTTTATCGATAAATTTAAAAGACACATTTGGAAAGAAAGCATGGTGAAAAAAATACATATCTACAATTTTAAAATCATGCATTCAATGCAATAAATTTTTACTTAAACACTATTCGTCTTACTGCTATTTATTAACATATAATTAAATAAATTTCTAATGTAACCACATAAATTCTCTATCTATATCGTAACATTTTTCATACTAATGCAATCATAAGACTGATCTATGATAGGGGGTCACTCTACTGATGACACTCGGTAACATCGTCAATTCGTCATATTCTGCACGGAGATAATTCGTCACGCATCAATAAAACGCTGTGTTTGAAAAAAGTAGCGAAAGTCGAAAAAAATTAAAGGAAATATCAGTCGATAAATACCAATACAAACTAAATAATCATTCTTAAAATAATTTTGTAATTCTTTTTTCAAACACTGCGATTTTATTTTGTGACAAAATACAGTATAATAACGACATAAATACCAACAGATAGTTCAGACGACTTAACCGTCAAACAATTCTGTTTCGTCTCACTACGTCATATGACGCTGAAGTCCTTTAAATTACACATCACTACGTCGATAATGACGTCATAATCCGTTTATAACACTAACATTTACGCTTCACTAACACAGAGCAACGATTTTATGGAAATAACAAATATCGAAGGCACTAGTAGTCTAGTGAATGAATAAAAAACAAAAGTTTAAAATTTAAATTTTTTTTTTGGGACCTCGAGAGTTCGTCCACGGTCAAAGTCATTAGAAGGTCCTGATTCCAATAATAAATTAAATTAAATTAGGTGTTTTAGTTTTTAAACATTATTAATTTATATTTAATTGTTCATAGTTTATTAGATGGATTAGTAAAATAGGTACTAAAAATAAAAAATGATTTTGTGATAAATTACAATTAAAATTAAATTAAAATATTTCATTTCATAACTTTAAATATAAATTAAAATTATTATCATTCGATGTTACACCGTTGTTTCAAAACTAAAATTAGTTAAAATTAAAATAAAAATATTACGCTATTTGATCACATCGAGTTTTGACTAGACGTGGCATCTATGATGACCAAAATGTGAATTTTTGTTATTTAGTAAAACGTTGCCTTGTTGTTTTTCTTATTACTCCAACCTTGACTAGACTCCACTCTATTGCACTTTTACACTCTAATTTCAACTTAGGACCCCCAAAAATGACTTTAACTATGAACAGTTTATTTATAACATACCGGTACGTCTATTTAACTGCCTAATATTGATATGACTCGAATAACTATTGACTATATTGAAATTTGAAACTAGTTGTCTTTTCTAATAACGCCTCTTACAAGATCCTAGACTAAAGACGATACCATTTTCACATAATTATACCTCGTTGTTATAAGAAGCGAGACTCTATCCGTTCACCATTAACATTTAAAATCTTAATTAATACTGTTTTATTACTAATACGGATAAAAGAAACTACACGGAGAGGACGTGAAAGAACGTTATGTCCAGAGACAAAGACCACAATATCAACTTCCATCTCTTTCATGTCACAATCCAGAAATGCGTTCCATTTCCAAACGTTTCCTCCATTCCAGAGCGCATTCCGATAATCGAAACATGGAATGGCACTTCAGAAAGTCTTTTAAAAATGGAATGGAACAAGAAATGGACTATTCCATTTTGAAAATCACAGTGTATAAATCTGTGTCCATACTCGCACTCGAAAATCTTGCAAAATACAAATCTGATATTTTTTTATTAATGTTAGGCAGTATCGTGTTAGACTTAGAACATTAAGTTACACAGATTCATAATTCTAATAATTGTTGTTACGACGTCGCGTCGTTGTTTGCTAGTGTTTAACTAGGCTTTCATGTCCGTGATATTTTCACTTGCATGCGCTATACATAGGTCTCCATGTGAGTGGTGGACGGGCCCTAGAAGGACGCCTCCACTAAGTAAGTCCCATCCATCGCAACACCGGTCTGGTTTCCTTGCACTGTACTCCCGGCAGGAATGTATTTGCCACACGCTTGCTGTAACCAGAAGATAACGTATTTGAATTGTGAATACCTTCAAATGTTTCAATAACAATCATTGCTTAGAATGTACAGTGATTACCTAAACAAAATAGCATATTTCTGTGATTAAAATTCTTCATTGATTCATAAATTATACTATATTTATTAATTTTGTATAATTTACTTCAACACTTAAAACCTTACCCAATGCTTCCAGGACGAGCAAAACTAAACAACATATACCATACACATATACGTATAAGTTACAATACAATACAAAATACTTAACAACATAAATACAATACAAAATTAAAAACACATTACACACAGATTTCTAAATTACTACAATAAAAACACATTTTACTTTCAATATTTATACATAGGAAAGTATACGCCTACCTATTCTATCTACAATCATAAATAAAAGCTATACAACAGTAACAAGCAATCCCTGAAAATCTGCGGAACCAAAAACACATATACGACAAATAAATATAATTAAAAACATCAAGATATTGTTTAAAAATAATAAAAAAGTGTGACAGTTTGCTAGCATTGATGTGTAGTGAGGAAATGTGTTCTATTTCATGCCAATTTACAAGAAATTTTAGTTTTATAATGTAGACCCAACGTGTAATGTAAAATGTATCGATTTTCTGAGGTTGTTATAGAAAATGACAATGGGAAAAGATATAATGAAAATAGAGATGTAACTAAAAATAAAAAAAGAACACAAACTAAAAATTAAAAATTGATTATGAAATTAAAAAACAATTATAAGTTGTAAAACTTATTTTAATTAGGTAGGTATTTGTTTTTTCTATAACTTATCCTCAGGATATTTATGTAAATGTTTATGGTTTGTTATGTTACTACAATGTTACCTCGTGAGTTTTAGTTTACCATGGATGTCGATAGATGGCGTTGAATATCTGAATCTCTTTAATTGAAGACTCAATTTAAAATTTTCATTTAACCTAAATTTCTTCGCAGGTTATCCAAAACAGTTCTTGTGAGGTCGATTTGAGGGGCTGATTAGCAACAAAATTTTGGCTTTTAAAATACTTATCTCGTTTAATTGCCAATTAAAATAACTTTCCAATCGAAATGTGTGCAGTGTGTTGGCATTTGATCGTACCGAATATTCTGTTCAACATGGACAACAAACAATAAGACGACGACATCCTTTTACACATACATTTACAACACTTGGATCTACTTAGTATCGCCTTATTCTTGCGGAAAAAGATGGAAGAATAAAGCGATTTCTTCACAAAATACAGGGACACAAAGATATTTTATAGGTACATATATATTTTTATATAAAAATAATTGACAACACGGCACCATAGCATAAGCCCATAAACAATGATACAACATTGAACAAGATACATTAGGACCATATTTATAAAGCAACAGTTTGGCAGCCAACACCCTGCAGACATTTAAAGCCTCTTGTTGATTTTCTTTTGTATACTGCTTACGTTACCACACAGCGACTTCTTTTCGTAAAATGTAAAAACTATAATACAATTTTAAATAAAACAATGTTATAAACAAATTTAAATTTTAATATTATGTGAAATTAAAGTTTCATTATGTAACATTTTATTTTTTTATTTATAAATTAAAAATATATTTTCAATTAATGTAATTTATTTTAATTAAGTTTCAAATAGCTTATTGTCGCTGTATGTTAACGCTGCACACACGTACTGGTAAGGGGTCTTCGCTGGGCGCAGCGGACACTGAGGTGTCGGAGGGTCGTGAGGTCGAAGTATACCGCCTGCCGCCCTTCCTCCCTTTCCTACTCGAGTCTAATAGCAGGACCTGTTAGAGCCAATTCGATACTGAGCCTTCGACACAAAATCAAAATACAGCATTTTAAATAAAATTTAATTTTGAAAGTGGATTTTTAGTTTCAAACTTAAATTAATGAATTAAAAATAAATATTTGTGAAATTTTAGGTTTGTGGTTAAGATATAAGACAGTGTTGTGTAAAATCAGTTTGAAAATAACAATTTTGTAGAAGTGTGGATATAGTTTAAAGTTGGGAGTGGATTAAATATACTTAAATATATTAAGTATACTTCAAAATGAACATAGACTAGCGAAAATAAAAGAAAATTAAATATATATCACATACAAGTATTTAACTTCAGTAATATTATATCCAGAATCAATATAAATATCTAGCGAACACATAAAATATCCAGCTTAAAAATAAATAGACCGTTCCCTTAAATAATACTTACCGATGAACCAGCTTTAATTGATTGAATTTATTCTCTTGCATTTATAATATAACAAAATCCCTTAACTTATAATTATCATTATTATAATAATATACTAGCTTACACACAATAAATATTATACATAAGACCAAGTACGTAGACGTAATTTAAATAGAAAAGGCAAAGCTAAATGATTATGTGAATCAGAAGTAGGTTTCTGCCAAGCGATTGGCAGACCACATCTAGCTTTTTAGCTGTTTGTCACATCGATCTAGCCACAATTTGCGATTGAAGCCACAGCACAATGACCCTTATTACTTATTTCTTTAGACCTCCATTCATCTTGAAGGTTTAAAGAAATAATGTAATTTAAAGTCTGGGTTGAAAATGTCATTAAAAAGATATGCTGAAGATTTATCACAGTTACATATTATCTTTTGTTTAATTTCATTTATCTAACTAAAAACTACTACTATAGTTTAATAAATATGTGTTGTTAGAAAATTTGAATCAGAGATTTTTTTGAATTACATGTTGTATTTATTTGACTGTCAACAGAAGCTATCGAAATTTTCATAATAACTATCGTGAGACATACTAAATTAACTAAAAATTGCGGGTTACTCACGTCAATATACTGAGAAAATTGCGGCGGTGTCGCGCAGTCTACTGTAGGCTGCTAGTGCCTACCGTGCACGCTGCTCATGAGGAAGAACCCCACTGTAGTTCGAAACTAGTATAGCTTTTCTCAGTATATTCACGTGAGTAACCCGCGATTTTTAGTTAGTTGAGAAACTATAGAAGGTAAATCCTCCGCTGACGGCACCGGCACCGGTGACCACGTATGACGTTTGTCGTATTAAAGATGATTTTCATCAATCCTTTTTTGTAATTACACATTTTTAAAAGCAAATTCAACCCAGCAATAATAAGGACCAACAAAGACCAGGTGCTTATAGCCCAGTAGCACAATATGTACCTCTCTCCTATTGGGTGCGAACTGCCCTATCGGACTGATGCACCGCACTGAGCGATGTCGCTTCTGTCATCAAGAATTATCATCATCATCCCAATTTAATGTAATGTAAACTTAATCATAAATAATAACAGTACCATTGCAACAATGTAATTTTAAATTTAAATTAAAATTGTGCTTAGTAAAAATTGACATAAAAATTATTTCATGCTGTTTATTTTATTTTAGTTTTGAGTAAATAAATTATTGAAAATAATGTTTTGCAATAATTATAAAATGTATTATAGTGTAGTAATAAAAATAAAAGGTGTTGTTTTGTAAAACACAATATTATTAAAAATAAAAATACTAAATTAAAATGCACGTGCGATTTAAAGAAAAAGAGATAGAATTTTCTAATTAGTTACATCGTTTTCAACGTAACTGAAATAAGAACATACCATCATACCTATACCTTCAAGAGGTAGGCAGATTTATATTTCTACTCATCATTTAGAATTTGTTTTAACATGCTGTAGACCAAGGCTTATAAAAAGTGAAATAAAACACTTAAAAATAGTTGAGAAAAGAGAAGTTTATAGTTGAAAACCAAATTTTTTTAGTAATGGTCTGTGAAACAAGCTAGATTCATACTCATGCCTTAAGTACTTTATTTTTAAAGTTGTATTATTAAAATTATTGAAAATAAGAATACTAAAGACTTATTTATATTATATAATTTTTTTGTTTTTGCATTTAGTTATTTATCTCAGTGTTATGTTTTATTAATGTTATCGAGACGAGTTAGCCTTTGTAGTGTATATTTAAGTAGTAATATATTTCTATATATGAATTTAATTATTATTCGAAATAAATAGGTACTTTTATTTTTCTCAACTGTTACCATAATAATGACATTATTTTATTTTAAATTATTACACAGTATCTAATCCTACATCACAGTCAGACCTAGTTTTAGTCTAAATCTATACAGCCCACGATCTATTTCTAGTCATTCCCACATTTGTCCTTTATGTAGGACCAAACAGTACTACGGAGATGAGTTCAATTATAAAATGTAACATGTTAGCTTTGACAGTGAATTTAACATTTACATTATTTCTTTATGTTGACTAAAAATGACTTAAATGGGACTTGAACCAGAGTTGCATGAGTTCAGGTACCACTTTTAGCGCAGTATTTGTCAACAACCTTTATGATGATTAAAAAATAACATCTCACTAACACTGAACTCATCTAAAACTACACACAGACAACCAAACCAACTAGATAACAGGTACCTGGTATTTTTGGGGGCAACAACCACACCGCGCGCAGCACGCGAGCAGCGCGGGCGCACGCCCAGAGTGCGCAGGCGACGCGAGAGGCGAGGGCGAGCCTGCGCGCTTAGCCGCCCCGTTGAAGGGATTCTCCATCTCCACAAACTCTCGATCCTGTAGGTAGGGTTATGTGTTAGGGCCCTATATCCGGAAAAACAAATAAGTATCCAATTCTCATCAAGAATCTGATTGTTGAAACCAGACGTTTTCATTATAATCTCTTTCAAAATTTTGCGTGAATCAAACATAGATATAGAGCGCCTTCCAAACTAGATACGACACAACACACAAACTTTAAAAAAAGGTAATCATAATACTCAAAATCCATAGTAATCACGCTTTACTAAACGAACAAACAAACAAACATACAAACGTCGATACAATAAAAAGAGTCTATAACTACTAACACAACACCACACTGACATGACATGAAAGTCCAAACATGCCACGGAATTAAAGCGTTAGATAATGGAAGTGGCCTAACTTCACCCACCGTAGTGCGCTCAAGACAGCGCAGGAGGTGGTGGTGTTGCAACTCGAAAATGTCTTCGTCTCTTCCAGCATCATCTAGTTCTACGCCCGACTCCTGCGCAGCGAGACGAGCTTCTGCTGCCTTCTTCTTTGACACGAATGCGGCCCCTGATGAGGCTTTGGCGATGCGGATACGCGCAAGACGGGCTTTCTGTAATTAGAGAGTTATGGAAGTTAATAAAAAGTGTCTGAAATGGTGGTTGACTGGTATTTGGTGTCTGACAATAAGGGGTGAATTTTGTTCAGTGTTTGAAAGACCGTCAAAAATTTTGTAATGGGTAGGTACTCGTCCGAAGTCGTTAATTTTGATGAATCTGAATAACTTTTGCCGATCGCATGGTCCAGTACCGGCGACGCATCTTTCAAATATCTGCCTGAATTTTTTTTTTATTTTTTTAAACGTGTGAATTTATTCTGATTTTAAAAACCAAGTTCCTACTCTATAGACAATAACTGATAATGTAAGCGTTCTCAGTTTTCTAGTGATTTTCAAGTGAATCATAGCGATAGAAATATAAATCTCTGAAAACTAAATGAACATAGCTTGAATGTATATCGATATATCAATGTAAACCCAATTCTATTTTCACCGTCATACAAATGAAAATCGATTGTTTTACTTCTTGTTTCAAAAGTTAATTTTAGCCCTACTCTTTAGCAATGCCAATCTTAGTCCAAATATGACTGCACGGTTGGTGCGGTGGCTGGGCAACCGGCTGCCCTGCAACGTGTTGCGGGTTCGATTCCCGCACGGAACAACATTTGTGTGATACACAATTTGTTGTTTGGGGTCTGAGTGTCATTGTGTATGTGTTGTATGTTTGTAAACGCTACCACAACACAGGAGAAAATCCTAAAGATGGGCGACGATTTTTTTAAAATGAAAAAAAAAATGACAATGAAAAAAAAGACACATTATTTTTCTTTCAACGCTAATTTAAAACAGGACTTTACAAACACAACTAGCTGAAGTTAGCCCTTACTTCAAGCATACTGAGCGAACTATACCCTAGCCTAGTCATAACCTGAACTATGTAGTTCTGGAGACTCGACGCAAATATCAGGGCATCGGTCGCTGCTGGAGGCTGCAGTAGAAAGAGAACGGAGTTACTGTATGAGCGAGACTGCCTCGTTGGCCGAGTGGTTTCAAGTATGACTGCAGGGCAAGGGGTCTCGGGTTCAATTCCCGCGCCGGGCAAAGTATTATTTATTTATTTATTTATTTATTCTTTAATGTACATAATTTGTTTATGGTACATAAGGCGAACTTAATGCCATATGGCATTCTCTACCAGTCAACCTTAGGGTTTAAGTAGAAAATCTGCGAAAACTGAGGTACGGAGAATAAACTAACAACAAAGAGAGAGAGAGAGAGGAAAAAATAATGGTAATTATTAAATAATATAGTTATACATATATATTACATAATAGTAAATAGTATATATAGTCATATGCATAAAATATATAGGTATAAATACATACATAAATATATATCGACGAAGACCTTGATCTAGCGTTGCAGCGATTTTAAATAAAATTCATGAACTTGGTGTTTGAAGGAGATTTTATTAGGAGCTTTTTTGATATTGAGGGGGAGCGTTACTGGGTTTTAAAAAAATTCTCAGTAGTAGCACGAAGTCTAGAATTGAGCCCGGTATATGGCAATAGGCTCACCCCCTATTATATGGGACTCATAACATAAATAGTGAAAAGTGGGCGTTACATTGTACTTTGGCTTTAAGTGCCGTAATGTGCACCTTTGCTTAACCCTTTGGGGATATAAGACGTGATGCTATGAATATAAGAGTGCGTCGGCCAAGCATGGGGTGCTTGGCATTCGTACTTTTAATCTCTGGACTTATAGTCCGACAAAGTAAACCATAACATAACATCACGCCTTTTTATCCCCGAAAAGGTAGGCAGAGGTGCACATTGCGGCACTTAATGCCATGTAAACCCTGGGTAAATAATACTGTAACATATCAGGCACTGATAACAATCAACACTGCGTCATTCAAAAATAGACCCTACAGAAGGTTATTACTACCATTCCGTGTAAAAATCACATAACTAACTAAACATATTAAACCTGAACGTCCGACATTACGGTATAGTGGAACCTATGAAATGATGTCATGCTATTCCTAGATTCTAAGAGTATATTAAATAATGTAAGTATCAATTATAGGAGAGTAATAAATCATATTCGTTGCTAACTGGACGTGTTCTATTTCTCTCCCGAATCGAACCTTTATATGGCGACCCTGCCAGCGCAGTGGAATGTCCCATAAAAGGAGACGTTATTATAAACATTGAGTGCTCTGGACAGTTTTAAAGACTTATTACGATGGCTCTAATTTTATTCATTACCTTACGAAGTGACGGTTCGTGTACTGTGAACTTAATTTGTGACTTTTCCCGTGTTCCTCAATTAAAAATCAAGTTTCAAAATGGGCAAACAACAATCTAAGACCCAGGAAGTTATAATAGCACAGAACGGCGCAGAAAATTCGGCTGGGGCCGAACAGATGTTGCAGCATACACATGTAATAACTTATATGTTGGTCACTATTGCCGTTATACTGATTATTGGAGGCGTTATATGGCTATTGCGCTACTACAGGAAATGCCATGGAAAATGGATTGAGAGAGGTGTTCGTGACTTCAATCTGCGAAGGTCGATGAGCTTGTTCCGTCATCAGCAACGGGAGGCCAATTTTCCAACTTCTACAGGACCTTCACCGGTGTGAGTGTTGTGATTAAATAATAAAAAGTGCGGTCACCCCAAGATAAAGTGCGATTAGTGTAAAACGGCATGGAAATGGATACGGTAATGATAAAAGTATAAGGTACAACATTTATATGTTAAATATTTACTCGCATTTTAAAGTTTATTAAATAAGGTAATATTAGCGTGTTATTTTAAATGATTTTGTCATATTTTTGTGTGTATGTAATTATGATGATTAATATAATAATAATTATACGTAACTTTATGTAATGATGTTATGGCTAGTGAAGTTAAAGAAATATTTGATAAATTGAAGTATATTAATGATTACCTTACAAAGTTAGGTCCAAGTAGAAGGTCAATTAATGTAAGACGAGCAAAACAAACTGAAGTAAATATTTTATATAAACAATTTTGTTCCTTACAAATAGCTATTGAAATTCGAATAAAAAATAAAGAGATTAGTGATAGTGAAATTCAGATAATTACAAACTTATTTGATAATATAAATAAATTGTATTCGAAAATAATTCAACTTTGTTCTGATAGTACAGAGGATACGAAAAGCACCATGGAAAAGTTCGAATTGAAAACTGCGATTGCTTTGTTACCAGTAATGACGGGTGATGAGAATATCACCAAACAATTAATTTCAAACATCGAGATGTATGAGTCTATGATAGATGATACGGGTAAAAAGCAACTCATTCAATTTGTTATAAAGTCACGGCTATCTGAAAGCGCTAAGCTGCGCATGCGTCATACTTATTCGTCTGTTGCAGATTTGATTCTAGACATGCGTAGTATCTTACTGCCAAAAAAATCCGATACTGCGATCCACAGCAAGATGCAGCATATGAAACAGAACGACAAGAGTATCGAGAATTACGGTAAGGAATTAGAACAGTTATTCGTCGATCTGACAATTACTCAGGCCAACGGAAACACTGATCTTTACCAAACTTTGAAGCCAATAAACGAGCGGATAGCTATAAAACGATTTTCTGATGGTCTGAGGAATAGTCGTCTTAGCACAATAATTGCAGCTAGAAATTATAGCACATTGAAGGACGCGATCCAGGGTGCATTGGACGAGAAGCTATCGAGTGGAGGTGAAGAGCGAGTGATGAGTTTTCATCATAATAGAGGTAGGTCAAACCGCGGTCATCGTAATTATAATAATAGTTTTAACAGGGGTGCGTCTAGAGTGTTTTCTAACTCTCAAAATTATAATAATCCCAGTCGTGGTTATTACAATGGTTCCAATCGTGTACGTAACTTTAATAATTCATCCAATTATCGCGGTCGCGGTGGTTTTCGTGGCCACACAACGTTTCGTCGCCCGGCTCGTCAACACCAAATTAGGCTAGCTGAGTCGAGTGGTAGTGAGCGTTTACAAGAAAATCCTGAAGTGCAGAATGAAAATCAAAATAATAACTTGTTTTTTCGTGCATGAACATTTTTATTGCCACAATATTAACTCTATTAATTTAGATGTATTCCACGTGTCGCGTAGTTGGTTACTTGATACCGGCGCGTCAGTGTCCATAATTAGGCAGGAGGCGTTAGAGAGCCTGCACATTCCTTTCCATATAGAGCGCATTAAAATAAACGGTATAGGTGGTCATGTGTATTGTGATGGTTTTGTTTATCTTAAATTGAATTATAATAATTATGAGTTCGAGCATAGGTTTTATGTATTTAAGAACTTTACTTGTAGAACAGATGGTATATTAGGACAAGATTTCTTGAGTAGATTTAATTGCATATTAGATTTTGAGCGAAATATATTGACAATTAATCATGACGTACCCATTGTTATCCCATTACAAATGGGGCAACTCGGCAACAATACTTACATGACTATACCGGCCAGATGTGAAGTTACTTACTTAGTAGAGACAAGTTTAAAAGATGAAGGTGTTGTTATGTCTAAACAGTTAAGTGAAGGCGTATTTTTAGCGTCTGTTTTAGTAAAACCTATAGATGGTAAAATACCATTAACATTTTTAAACACCCGAGAGACAGACATATGCTTAAGTTATTTCACGCCCGACATTGTGCCTTTAAATGAATATTTTGTATGTTCTTTTGAAAGTTTTAACTTAAATGCGAATCGTGTGAAACAATTATTTTCGGTATTGAATTTAAAGCATTTAAATAAAGAAGAACAAATTTCGATCGAAAACATTTGTGCAAAGTACTCAGATGTATTTTTTTTACCAGGCGACAAATTAGGCGTTACCAATTTATATAAACAGTCAATTCATTTGAAAGAAAATACTAACCCAGTGTACACCAAGTCCTATAGGCTCCCTAAAAGTCAAAAAACTGAGATTGATAAACAAATCCAAGATATGTTACGTAATGACATTATCGAGGAAAGTACGAGTGAATGGTCTAGCCCTGTTCTTTTAGTG